TTTTACAAACTTTCATTTACTGTAGCTAGTTTTCTCTGATACTTGAAAAAAAAATTTAATGGTTTTGGAACAGGGTACTCATAAATATGTGGGATGCAGCAGGTTTTCTGTTTTGCATATGTCAGACAAGTGATCTGCAACACTACCTTTTAGCATCATTGTATGACCTCTACTTCTTTTCAAAGCTACAAAAATTGTGCTATACCAGTAGCCACAGGCAGTCATAGACTGTCTATTTTGTAGAGAATGTTGTTGTTCTTTTTGGTTTTGTAAATAAATGAATATTTAAACATTTGTCTCAAGATGTAAAGTCATACTATCAATTGCATTGATTACATTAATTATTTGGACTGCTATACTGCCAGTTGTCTCAAGTTTGTTAAAAATGCAGACTGTTATCTTGTTGGGGTACATGATACATGGTTGTTCATGTTCCAGACCATCATTTCTTTGGAAATCTTACTTGCCATGAACAGTTGTTTTGAATCTATAGTATGTTATTTTTAGGAGCATTCTCATTTTTGACCAAAAAATTATTTTAATGGTAATGAAATTAAAACTTTGGTTGCCATGGTCAAGAAGGGTCCATTTTGTGGATACTGGTCTTTGGTTGGGCATAAAATCAGTTTAGATTAGAGTTTACAGGTATAACGCAGTCAATGTCATTTCATGAAAGGCACAATTTTTTTGGGTCCATTATAGGTTTTTGATGATTGTGCCCTCTCCCAGCCAGTAAAGGAGGAACTCTACAAGTGTTATCCAGATGCTAAGAGAGCTCATTTAAAGAAGGGTGGCAACTTTCCATATCTTTGCAGGAGTGCTGATGTTAATCTCTACCTACAGGTGTGTTAAGAAACAAAAAACACTAGATTTTACTAACCAGGGGTGACTGTGACCAAAAAGGATTTTCCCTACACAATTTACAGTTCCAGACAGAATGGTGGTTTGAAGAAAGAAAGGTAAACTAGGGAGATTTTTTTTTCTTAATCAAATTTCAAATTCTCACAGGTAGAATTATAAGAAATGTATTGTGGACAGTGCAGAGAATTAATCACTAGATCATAATTATGTGTTAAAGGTGTAAGAAAGGCTTATTGTTTGTAAGTTTGTATACTCTTAGCTTATAATAATTGCCCTGGCTGATTAGACCATGAGCAGGTGCTCACCTCACTCATGGAGCTGTCACAGCGCACTAACATCCTTTTGTTTTCACTGACTATTTTTTTAACTCATGTGGCTGAATTTGCCGAAAAGGAGGAACTGCTCAGACTACTGGGTTATGTGCAACTTTATCAAATGTATACTTTGATGCTCTGTTTATGTAAATAGAGGGTTACAGGGTAAGAGTGGAAATGAGTTAATTCCCTTCTGAGATTTCAAACAACAGCCTTTCTAAAGCCACTCAGGTGTTTGAATAGTGTGCTGCAGAAAACTTTCAACCAAACAAGAGCTAAAAGCTAAGAAACAGTGATCTCAGTAAATCGGTTCTACATTTTATTTGTGCTCCTTATCTTCAATTATAGGGCATTATTGTATCTCTTCTTAATTTGCAGATTCATCTCCGGCAATTCATGGGAAAACGATTCAATGCCATGGATCCTAAATGTATGACAGAAGAGGACATGGTATCATGTGGTCTGTTGCCATCAGCAGATCCCCCTTCTGTGGTGTCCTCTGATGAGGAGGACAAGTAATAAATAAATAGTTTTGTAATAATAATTATTGAGAGTAAATTATAAGTTTGGCAAGAGAAGAGCAGCTTGTGATTAGATAAACATTATTTTGTGATGCTGCTGATTCAAATGAAGGCTGCTGACTCCAGTTTTTGCAGAAGCAGTTGGCTTGCATGATGCAGAATGCAAAATTGTTGTTACATGTATCTGTGAGGTGAATAGAAAGATGCTATTGGTGAAGCAACAGTTAACTTTGGCTTGATGCAGTTAGGCAGCAATTGAATCATACACAAAGAAACTCTTGAAAAAAGGGAATATTTCAGCAAGAAACAGGACAGGAATCAACTTAAAGTCATGTCATCCTTGACTCTCAAACACTGAATAGTGCTGCTTGAAGTGAGACAAGTAACACATAGTTTGAACTGGTGAAACAGTATTTAGAAAGGCTTTTCGAGTTAACATACCTTAAAGAGGATGTCAACCAACAGTTTTCTTCCTGAATGATTAATGTAAATCTACGCAAGTTTGTTTCAAAGTTTGTAACCGTGAGATATCACAACCTAGTTACTAAAGCTTAGAATCTTCAAACAATTTTAAACAAGAACACCAGCTTTCACTTGTGTATTCTAAGTGAAGTTAGTCTTCCAGTCACCGTAGCCAAAGCTTTACGACTGAGGAAGCAGGTTGTTACAATTAAGGGAACAGCTAAGATATGGAAATTGTTTAACGAAATGAGTGAATCAAGAAGGATTGCCATGTCTGCCATGGAAATTCCAAATTAGTTTCCTCCTGGAAGTGGCCAAACCCCCTTTTGGCCCTATCGATTT